AATAAAAGAAGTAAATCTCAGTATCAATGAATTATGAACAAATGATGCTGCATAAACATGGGATATATAAACATGTTCAGTAATCTTCTCCATTGGCTTCTGAAGCAGTCACTTTCTTACATCTCCCGTGCACACTATTGGCCATGACCAATTGATACAAATAGACAGAAATATAGTCAGAGAGATTAGTTTGAAGCTTCACCAGCAGGCCATGTCTGCGTTCAACAAAGGTTGAAGAGCTTTGACAACAATACTCATGTTTGGTCTAATATCACTTCATATTGCACCACAAGGGGCAGCAACAGCAGCCATCGTATAATTAAAGAAAGTATCTTGATGTTATACATTAATATTTGTCTTAGTTAAGTACTAGTCAATATTTCCTAGAACAGTTTCGATTGTCAATTCTACCAGGGTCAACTAAAAAGTGAATACTATTTTATATGCAAGTATTTTTTTGGCTCTCAGAGGAATGATACCTGTTTCTAGCTCTCAAGTTAAAAAACTGAAAACAAAACTGTAGAGGAAAACATTACCTTCCCATTGTTCAACTAACTAAATCAACTGTAACAAAATCTAAGATTCAAAAGTCCTCAGGTATCTTATGTGAAGTACTTTTGATTAGTTTGCTATTTCATAGACATGTGTTTCAAACCAGTCCACCCACAACCTCACCAAGGAAAATGACATAACAGAAAAAATAAAGAAAAAAAATACACTAAAAGACAGCTAATACCTTAGCAACAGCTTTGGGAGGGTAATCTCCTCCTAGTCTTGCATCTACACACTGTCTAACTTTATCCTCACTGAGTCTTGGAGTAGCCTGAATCACATCAGTTACTAGGATCAGTTAGTTGACCAACACTTTGAATTCTCTGCTTTTTGAAAACAGAAAAATATATTACAAGTGAAGTTTGCATTTACCCAAGTAACCAAGCTCTGTTGCCCCCGTGGTAATGTATGATCAACAGGCTTCCTTCCCGTCAAGAGTTCCAGGAGGACGACACCAAAACTGTATACATCACTTTTTGCATTCAATTGACCAGTCATTGCATATCTGCGTCAACAAGATTAGACAGATTGTCAAGGTATTTGCCAGCACACTGACTAAATATATAAGAATAGTTTTGTTTTCTAAATTGATCATCGGACAAGATACAGAGAAACACTCAAAAGAGTGTATGGAAATTGACAATGTCTTCTTGTCAATTAGGGAGGTGGGAAAACTTTCTATTACTTTTTCAATAAGTAGCCTTCACCTATTATGCTTATCAGTTACAAGAAGTCTATGATAAGTTAACCAACAGAAAAATAATAAAGCATGTCATACAATATCTCTTGAAAATCTGGTATGCACATCTTACTCTGGTGCATGATATCCAAAGGTTCCAAGGACCCGAGTGGAATGGAGTCGTGCTGCCATGTCAGGAGCCTGATTTGACAAATCAAAATCTGCAATTTTAGCAACATCATCGTCAAAGATGAGTACATTACTTGACTTGATGTCCCGATGGATAATGTGAGGATCAGCCCTCTCATGCAAGTACTCAAGCCCTTTGGCTGCCCCTACAGCAATTTTAACTCTTTGTATCCAAGTTAGTACGGGACCAGGCTGTGCTCCTTTAACACCTTTTCTTCCTGCATGTGATGAAAATTATAAGAACACAACAATGTACAAGAAGAAAGAAATAATATATA